TTTTGAGATGCAGTCTCACTTTGTCACCCAGGCTCATACAATGGCGTGATCCCGGCTCACTGCAACCTCCACCTGCCTCTCTGGGCTCAAGGGATCCTCCTGCCTCAGCCTCTAAGAAACTGGGACCACAGGCGCATGCCACGAGACCTGGCTAATTTTTGTATTTTTGTAGAGACAGCATTTCGCCATGATGGCCAGGCTGGTCTTGAACTCCTGACCTCAGGTGATCCGCCTGCCTCAGCCTCTGAAAGTGCTGGGATTACAGGCATGAGCCACCACACCTAACCCTGCAAAGCCTTTAAAATCCAGCTCCCAGTTACTTTACGGTCCTCCCCACTCCTCTTCCCCTTGCCCACTGTCCACACACACCAGCCCCCTGGCTGCTCCTCCAAACACCACGCACGCCCTCGCCTGTCCTCACCACGCATGCCCTCACCTGTGCTGCTGCCCCCTCTGCCTTCAAGTCCTGCCTCCCATATCAGAGCCCTCCTACCCACTCGCTCTCTAACTGCTGCACCCTGGCCTCTCCTCACTCTCTTGCCCTGCACTTGTGGCTACATAACAGTGAAGAAATTGGTGTATTTCTCCCTCCAGTGGCCTAGGGCAGGCTGGTTTTGTTTCTGTTTTTTTCCCTGCTGGATTTGCAGCCCATAGAACAATGCCTGACCCCCAGCAGGGGCTTGGAAATGTGCGCTGAATAAATGACAGCTAGGCACCGTGCAGCCTTCAGCAGGCGTCCTGACATTTAATCTGCACCGCAGCCGTAGGATTTAAGTTCCCTGTTTTAGAGATGAGGACACGAGATTAGAAGAGCTGCCTGCTCCCACCCCCAAGGCCTCAGAGGGGCCACCCCAGGGCTGGCTCCACAGCGCAGGCTCCTAACCAGGGTCAACACACCATCACCTCTTGCCCAAATGAACTTGAGGCCGCTCCACAGGAGCCCTTCCTACACCCCCGGCCCTCACGTCGGGGTTCCTCTGTCCATTTCTCTGCCCCCGTCCCCATCCCTCCGACTTCCCCCTCCCACTCCACCCCCACCCCTGTCCACTTAAGGAGGCTCACAGCCTCCCTCCTCTTCCCACCAAAAGAGCCCGAGGTCAGTTTCCTGCCCTCCTGGACCTGCCCTGAAGTGCGTGGGTCCTCCTTGGGTCCTCCTTCACCCAGTTGGATTTGAATCTAGAGGCGGCTCGGGGCCGGGACCGCTAACGACCCCTGCAGGTGGCTGGCGGGTGGGGACGTAGGAGAGCAGAGCGTGCTGTCCCCCGCTTGGCCCCGCCCAGCCCTGAGCCATGGGCGTGGCCACCGACGTCCAAGCACAGCGTGGGGTCCTCCGCAGGCAAAGCACGTGACCCCAGGGCAACTTTTGCACGTGCAAGACTGGCGACATTTTCCTGGCCTTCAGGTCCCTGGGAACCTCCTCCACCCTCTGCCCGGAATCCTGTGGGGTCTGAGCTTCCTCCACCAGGCGTGCCTCCTCCTGGCTCCTTCCCACACCTACAGCTGCCTCTCCGAGTCCCCCCACCGGGGATACCCCCAGCCGTGACCCCACCACCCATGCCTCCTGGAGCTGCAGGATATGCCCCTGGCCCCCATCTGCAGGAACCCCAGGGCAGGACATCCGGGTCATGAACACTCACATCCACACCTGTTCCCAACAGGTGCGATGCCCCATCTAGGGATGTCTCGGATTCAGCCGGCACACCATGGCCCTCATAGCTGGGGACACCCCCGTGCTGGGCCCCCAGGATCTGGGGGGCAGTCACCACCCTGACCACCACCTGGAATGCCTCATCCTGGACCTCCTCCAGTGGGCATCCCCCCCAGGGGGCCTCAGTCTGGATCTCCCATGGGCCACCAGGGCCTATGCTTCCATGGTACGCATAAGCCTCCTCCACTGATGCCGCCTCATGGATACACAGGCCCTCTACAACCCCTACCCTACAGCTTCCAGCGGGGGCCTCTCCCTCCACGCAGCCTACTCCCTGGCTTCCAGTTCCTCCTCACGGCCCACTTCGGGGCCTTCTCCCTCAGTAAATTCACCTTCTCCTTCCTCCTGTTATATCTTCCCAATATCTTTTTGATACCTTGGACCAGAGATGCTGCAGCTCCTTGCAGCTAAAGCACTAATCCCTTTCAGCCTTCCCACCTCCCTTTTTAATGTCATTTTCCCCCCACAGAAGGTATTTCTTTTTCATGTTGGTCCTAATTATTTTCCAAATGCAGGGAAAATAAAACTGTAACAAATTCCTTGTTTAAAAAAAAAAAAAAAAAAAAGGCCAGACACGTCAGCTCACACCTGTAATCCCAACACTTTGGGAGGCCAAGGCAGCTGGATCACTTGAGGTCAGGAGTTCGAGACCAGCCTGGCCAACGTGGCAAAACCCCATCTCTACCAAAAATACAAAAATTAGCGGGCGTGATGGTGTGCGCCCGTAATCCCAGCTATTCAGGAGGCTGTGGCAGGAGAATCACTTGGACCTGGGAGGCGGAGGTTGCAGTGAGCCGTGATCATGCCACTGCACTCCAGCCTGGGTGACAGAGTGAGGCGCCTTCTCAAAAACAAACAAACAAAACAAAACAAAACAAAAAAACTCTTCCAGCCTTCAGGTACCTCAGAAACTGGCTGGACTCCACCCTATTACCCAGGCTTCGCCATGCCATCAGCCTAGCTTGATCACACTTCCTTCAAGACTGCAAACGTCCTTCCATTTCCACCAGCCAAGCCTTTGCCCTCATTTTGCCCCGTCATGCTCAGCCATCCCTTTCCTTCCTCTCTCCAGATTGTATGTTTTATCCTTTGTAAGCTCCTGCTCAGTCAGAAGCCCTGTGATGAACTCTTTCTGCTGACCAGGCGCAGTGGCTTACACTTGCAATCCCAGCACTTGGGCAGGCTGAGGCAGGAGGATCTCTGGAGCCCAGGAATTCAGGACCAGCCTGGGCAGCATTGCAAGACCCCATCTCTATGAAAAAAAAAATACAACAATTAGCCAGGTGTGGTGATGCACGCCTGTGGTCCCACCTAATTGGGAGGCTGAGGCAGGAAGATTCCTTGAATCTAGGAGTTTGAGGCTTCAGTGAGCCACAATCATGGCACTGTACTCCAGCCTGGGCAACAGAGTGAGACTCTGTCTCAAAAAA